CAGTATAACCACAAGTTGTGGTCTCCAGAGAAGTACAGCCTAGTCTGTTCTCATTTCATCACTAGGATGGTTTTGTCTAGTCAGCAAGCTAGCTGGCTAAGCTATCCAGCGTGCTGTGCTAAAGCGAGGTGCATTTCATACTGGAAAAAACTGCTTGGGGGGGTGGTTTTGAAGTAAAGATCTGCCAATGCATTGGATTTGGCCCAAAAAAATCAGAAAGGAGACAGTCAACCGCAGTCAGTTCACTGGGATGTGGTAATATAGAAACAGAATCCCAGTCTAACATGAGCTGGCCATTAAAGCTCTGAACATGATAAATGCCGCAACATATGGATTTTGAGAAGGCGAGGCACATCCATGCCTCAGAAATTAGGTTAGTCCCTTATTTATTTAAATATGCTGCCATGGTTACGGGTGGTGGGGGTGAAGGGGGGGGTGGCATTTTTGGTTAGGTAATTCATTGCTGATTTCACTGGATGGGGAGATATGTTTCTGAAAGGGCTCATTCCTGCGCGGACGGTCGCATCCTGGACTGCAGGAGATAACGCGCAGCACAAAGCATGTCAGCTCTTTGGAAGATTAGCTGGACAATGGATTTTTGTGCGGTGAAACAGCCCTCCTCAGTGCAGTCATGCCACGGCTGAATCGGGCGGCCGCATTGGAGCGCCGCTCTCCCGGCCTCGCCAGCGCTGAAGGACAGGGGCGCTTTATTACCGACAGCTCTGTATGAGAGGCCGTTGCTGCTGGGGGCTGGCGGTTTAGCATAGTGGTGAGGCACAGGGCTCGTACCTGAGAGGTTGCAGGTTTGATTCCCTGCCGGGTCACTGCTGCTGTACCCCTGGGAAAGGTGCTTAGCCCAGAATTGCCTCAGTAGGCCTAAATATCCAGCTGTATGAATGGACAACGTGTAATGATTGTTACCTGTGAAAGTCGCTCTAGATAAATGCGTCTGCTAATTGATGATGGTGTAGTGTTGTGTAGCGCTGTCAGTCTGGAGCTGATTCAGTGCTGTTCATCCACAAGGATTGTGAGGAGGAACTTTGAGGAGGAAAAGTTACCTGGCAGGGATGGGATTGTTTAACCAGGTGCCTGGTGTGGTCTCATTTGAGGATTTCATAAAATGGAAGGTGGGGAAATCTCTCCCCTCTGATTGGTGGAGATGACAGGGAGTCAGGTGACTCACGCCCCCGTCAGCGCTGAGCTGGGCGTGGTGTAGGGTGATGCGACAGGATGTGATGCGTGACGGGCCCTGGTGCCTCACGCTGTTTCTGCTCCCCGCCTTTATCACATGGCGCTGATCTGTTTATCATACATTTACAGCTTTTTAAAGCGGTTTCTCCCCACACAGCGCGCCAGGGACTAATAATCACTTCCTCCTGTTGGAGTCATCTCCTCAGGGGCGTGTGAGGTGCTTAACTCGAGAGGTGAAAGTAGGCCGGGGACCCCGAACAGGTCCACAAGCAAGCGCTAAGAGCGCTAATGTCCTCGGGAGCTGCTTGAGCGAACAGTCCTTTCCATTCCAGTGCTGTTACTCGCTCTCGTCCTGTACCTCATTAAAACCCGGCCTCCACTCTCCTCTTCTGGTGTTTTCACTTACATGCGAAATACTTTCCCATAAAACTCAAGAGCAGAAGCGCCCGTGGCGGCTCTCCGTCACGGCCTGCTGCCGGCGGCCGATCCCTGCCCGCCGGTAACCGTGAGCCTGCGGAGTAACGGGTAACGATACTAGCGTGTTAATGTGAGGAGGAAAGCTGAGGGGAAAAAAGGAGGCTTTGATTTCAAATTGAGCGAGTGTTGAAGAACAGATGGGTCAGTACTGCTGATCAGTGCTTGATTAGCGGTTAGCGCTGGGCTCACATTGAGATGAGGCTTCGTCGTTAAATAAGGGACATAACCTTAATTGCTTTAGTAAAGGCTAATATTTAAATGAGAATGAATACTGAAGTTACATTATTGTCATCCAGTTGCTCTGGACAATCTTATCCAGAGCGACTGGCTAGGCTCCAATCTGTACATGTTATGCATTTATACAGCTGAATATTTACTGGGGCAATTCTTGATTAAGCAGCTTGCCCAAGGGTACTTAATAATAAAGGAAGAATAAATGAAAATGTTGAAGCTTTACATTACATTATCATCATTTAGCAGATGCTCTTATCCAGAGCGGCTTACACAGGTTACAGTTTTTACATGTTATCCATTTACACAGACGAGGCAATTCTGGGTTAAGTACCTTGCCCAAAGGTACTCCAGCAGTGCACCAGCAGGGAATCAAACCAGCAACCTTTAGGTTACGAGCCCTGCTCCTTACCACTATGCTACACTGCCACCTGCGCACAATGTGTGTACAATTAAGTTTATCTGGGTAGGAGTATCTGTAGAGTAAAGCAACTCAGAACTTGCATCAGGTGGTGAGAGTGCGGAGCGTCAGGACAGGACTGTGCTAGCGATGTGTCAGCACAGAGGACCTCAGCAGGAATTCTTTCCTCATCCTCACACACTTTCCAGCTACTAAGCAGAACCCCAAATAACCTGTAATTTAGGCTGCTCTCTCTGTGCTCTGCCTAAGATGGTGATATGTGGGAAAAAAAAGTATAAAGTCAGTTGTGGCTGCAGTGCTAAGGGTCATGTGTATATATATATAAACCAGCAGGCGGTGGCCATGTTAAAGGGTTTTCTCTGTGTTCCGGCCTGTTGGCAGGAGAGGGGCTCGTATCCTCCCGTTTGTGTGCTCTACTCCTGCAGTGCGCTCGGCCAAACCCCTCTGTCTGAATTTACACAGCCTTGCAGCTGCACATTCCTCCCTCTGCGTTGTTGATACAAAGGAAATATTTTGCTCCCCTAAGACCGATAACATGAAATGGCGGGTATTTATGAAAAGCTAAATGTGCTGCCGAAACAAAGCGCTTTCTGTTGGGACGTAAATACTTTTAACACGCGGCTCACTCCCCCCTTTTTTTTGTTCTCGGCCCGACCTAGTTTTTATAGCACCATCCGTCTCAGTGGGTTAGAAATGCAATGTGGCGGTTTAAGCTTCTGGGCTTAGAACCAGAAGGTTGCCTGGTTGATTCCTAGATGAGGCACTATTGAGTAAAATGTTTTACCTGAATTCCTTGGTAAACATTACATAGGTATTATATAGGTCGAGATCCTTTCTGTTGGTGTTTCAAAGGGGTATATTTTACCCTTGTTATTGGAGTTAGTGTGTTCGTGTTGTTAGCGTGATGATGATCACTCTCTAGTTTGTAGGGCATTTTTATGTGCGGACGTATTCCCGTGTTTCACATTCCATTTCCCAGAGTTGCAAAGTGTGACACACCCTCCAGCAGTCATATCTGCAAGTTTTTTAATGCTTTTTTTCCCTTGTTTCGCAACACTGTTTTGGAATCACCAGTTGTCTCACCGTGACAAACTCTGGAATCACACGCGTGCACACTCACGGATGTGTTCCTCCTACACAGTCCCATGCAGCTGTTCTTTTTTTGCCACTGTAAGTCCTGCAGCACACTATAGTGGAGTGGGTGCACATTGGAGAGTAGACACTACTCCAGTGACGTCATCCATGCAACTTGTAGGCGCCTGATGAATTGTAGGGTGAGTTAAACAGCCCCTGCCAGCCTATCCACTGTTACCTCTGCTGTGGCCTCTCAGGGATTGAACCTGGACCAGCTTTAACCACTGAGCTCTTCAGGAGCCTCCCAACATGGTGTTCAGCATTACTGTCCTGGTGGGTGCGATTTCTAATTCAGTGAACGCCATCACCGACCCCCTGGCCTCTCCACTCCTGTTCCTCTGCACACGGCTTCTGTGCACATTTCGGCTGAGGGGAGTCTGAGGAGAGGTGAGGTGTCTCTTAAGGGTGCTTTGGGCGGTCGGTACTGGCTTCTTTCAGTACATAGCGCATAAAAATGGAGCGTAACATTGGGCTCAGAGACCCCGTGAATAGCACATTATGAACAGAGCCGGGCATCAGTTGGACGGCTCACTCAAGCTGCTCACTGTACCAGTCAGAGCCGTGCTCGGTGTTATTTTTTGTTTCCTGTCTTTTCTCGTGCCTGTTTCTGACCAAAGATAATCTCCTTAAATCTGATATTTTTTTCCCCCCGCGCTGTTACCTCCTGGAGGAATTCTGTGCCTCATTCTGAGGTTAAAAAAAAACGAAGAGTTTGTCCTTGGCAAGGTTGCACACATCGCCGCTGAAGAGTCGGAATGTCCGGTTCAGAATGGCAGTTTGGCCGAACGGCCCTCATTTGATCGGCCCGCCAGTCAAGGCCTCTGTGCCTGACGCAACTTTGCGAAGGTCACCTGAGTGAAACAGATTAGCCGTGGAGGAAGCGCTGCGTGTTCTGCAGCGGGAATCGAGCGCGCGTCGCCCGGGTTGCATGCGTTAGGCACCCGCTCGATTGAGCTTTTCCGGGAGGAGGGCTCGAGTCGTTTTGGCTCCTGGTTAAGGTCGTCCGTGATGACTCTCTCTTCACCGCGAAAACGCCGTGAGGGCCACGCTTCACGGATTCGATGTGACAGCGCATTAGTGTTTACGGAAGGGAAAAATTGAAAGTTATGAATAACAGATGATAGAACGTAGAAGGCTGTTTTAGACGGACACCGCGCCACCGTTTCTGGCTGGTCCACCGCGCTACTGCCAAGTTGGGCCGAACAGGTCACGGAGACTGTGAAAGAGGACAGGGTTTTAACAGTGAATATTGTGTCACAGAGGCATGCTGTTAAACAGTTGGTAAAGGCGGCAGTTGTTTGAAGGCCTGTGATGTTTTTCTAGCTGGAATATGAAGGCCGGCAGATGTGAAATATAAGGACAGAGACCAAGGATGCGCGTTCTGTGAAGGGGAAAATGTTGAAGTTCTACATTTCACACTACAGTTCGTCGTTTAGCAGACGCTCTTATCCAGAGTGACTAACAAGGGTTACAGTTTCTACATGTTATCCGTTTATACAGCCGAGGCAATCGTTGGTTAAATGACTTGCCAAAGGGTACAACAGCAGTGCAGTAACCGAGAATTGAACCAGCAACCTTTTGGTTACAAGCCCTGCTCCTTACCACTATGCCATACTGCCATTTTATCAGCGAAAAGGGTTCATAAGGAAGGCCAGTCCTCATCAGGTCATGAATATAGAAGGAAGCAAAAACAGCATATGTATATGTAGGCAAGGGAGACTGATACTTTCACAAGCTGAGAATCAGTGGAAGCCAGGCCCACTGTTGTGGGCATTGTATTGAAATTTTTCACCGCGCCATTATTTTTATGAGAAATGCCACCCTGTGTTGAGAGGTGTGAGCGGAAGCCCTCTTTGTGCTGTAATTATCATTAACAGCGGTGTTATTTGAATGAAAGACTCTGCGTTCGTCTCTCTCAGCCATGCTCCGGAGCACTGCAGTGTGTCATAATTACCGTTAATATCAGCCGTCGAGATGGAGGGGGGGCGTGTTCTCCCCCCTCCCTCTGTGGTCCCGCCCAGTGGCATTCGGCATTTTACACACTGCTTCATGCTCTCTGCAGTCCCTGCCCCCGTAGGGATTGAAGCGAACGAGTGCGGGGTCAGGATTTGGCCTTCATAGTGCCCTTCTCCCACTGCCCCCCCCCCACACACCTCCTGGGGGGGTAGTGCTTTTTTTTTTGCGTCGTAGTGCCAAGGTTTGACACTCCTCTGGGCAGAACGCTAGCAGGGCAACCTTAAGCTCCTCTGTGTGTCTCTGTGCTTTAAATTGTTCAGCGTGCGGTCATGTCTGGCCGGTCCTCAGAGTACACCGCTTTGGTCTATCCTTGATTTTCTTCATTATTTGCAGTAAGAAAGGTTAGGCCCAGTGGTGTTGTGGGTAAAACTAAAAAAAACGTCATGACCACATAAAATATAAAAAGCTGCATTTTGGAATAAAAAGAATTATTCAAACGTTGGGGTTTGTGTCGTATGTGTAGAGTCTGCAGAAATGCGGCTCTTTTCTTGGAACGGGAGGCCTGAATTTGCTGTAGCTGTGTTATTGCTGTGGGCGAGTGTACTCACAACATCTCTCTCTCTCTCTGTCACACTGCTGTTTTGAGGAAAATAATGAAACAGCTTCGTTCGAAATTGATTCCAAGATGTTTTAGTAGATTGGTATGAACTCGCTCTAATTACCTTGCCTTGTGCAAGTTCTCGATGAAATGGCACTGCTCTATCAGCTGCAGCTCATTTGTTCATGAAACAGGTATTGCTGCTGCTGTTCATAAGGGAGGGTGATAGGACTGCTTGCAGGTACAAATGCGGTGATTTTTTTTTCCTTCTGAACACGCTGTTTTATTGGATAAAGAGCTGTGAGCAGGTGCATGGCTTCCTTGTAGTACTTTATTAAGTCTATTTGATTTTGGGGAGATGGGATTATATCACCATCAGAGAGTTTTCATTACAGTAACTGAGTTTCCTGTGATATCATGCAGTTTCACGTCAGCACAAAGCTCCTTGCCTGTATTTTACGGATGAAATGACCACAGTAAAGAGGATTCAGAGAGCAAACGACGGGCAGCCTCCAGGAGCATGCGAAATGAGCATCTCTGAACAGGCTCCCAGGTAGCGGCAAACCCACCTTTGGGAGCGCTTTTGCAGAAACGAGTCACGTTATTTCCCCAGGGCGAGCAGAGAGGATATGGGAAACACTTGGAGGTTAACAGCGGTGGGATTGATCGGTGCCTGTGCACGGTCGTGTTAATATCAGCGCAAAAACCACGCGCGTGCCACCGGAGCGTGTGATGTAGCATACCTGTCCCATGAATAATGCAGGAAGAAAACACCTCACTTTAATTGCCCGCCGCCATCATCCTCCTTATCCGCAGAATCCCGGTTAATGAACTTGCCAGGTCTCCCTTTTGATAAACAGGCCAGGCGGTAAGCTGGGCTAAAGCTGTGCGTTGCGAGCGTGATTGATCATTTGATAGGAGACGGTTCAGATCCAGGCGTGATCGGCCTTAAATGGGCCGTGCTCAGTAAATCAGCACTGAGAAGCAGCGCTGTGGCACCCAGGCCATTGCGCAGATAAGGCTAATCATGCCTCAGAATAGCTGACAATCTCACTTGATTCTTCTGGTCGTTTTTTAATATTGCTGTGTTTTTTCCTTCTTTTGTCTCCGATGTTATTTTTACCTTTTCTATTGCTAGCGCTGAAATGGCGTCCCTACTGTTGCACAGTGAGAGCCAGAGAAGCCCACACCTTATATGTGAGGCAGGTTGGGAGAGAACATTGATTAAACTGAATTTACTCCCCTCTCTTCTGGAAGAGTGTAATAACAGGGCACCTTTTTTTTTTTCCTTTTTTTGACACAAAGGAAGCAGTGCCTAACGGCAAACTGAGATCCTCGGCAATCTCACACCTCCTGTGTTTTGTTTTCTTGACACACAAATGAGATCTATTTGTTCTGTAGGGGAGAGTCCACTGCTCAAGCCTCTTGGTGTTGGGTTTCCCCTTAACAGCAGTGGGCTCTGATACGGCAGTTTATCTCTGTATGTTAAACTGATTTAACCCTGATCCTAATCATTGTGTAGGTGAGCCGCTTCATTTGAGGAAGACCTCCCTGCCTTTTTTTTTCTCCTGGGAGTCCTCAGACTACTTACTAATTACTGCAGGAATTCTGGGAACAGGAACCAGGATCTGCGACTCTCCGTCAGAACTTGTAGCTGTAGACATGTTAGAAATGGTTCGTACATAGTGAGTCAGTACCACAACATCAGTGTCAAGTACCACTCCTGGCCTTGTGATTGGCTAATATGAACAGGAACCAGATGCAGGAGATGGGGGAGGTACACTTCACAGAATGAGGAGAACATGGTCAGCAGGCCAACCTTTGAAGGCATACATCTGTAGCTGAAGCAGTCATGGTTGCCTGGGGGATTGGCATGCAAACAGCAGGCACCAATGTTGGGCAGCTCCACTGAGACTCACAGGTTCCAAGGTGGGCCATTGGCAGGAGTGTGTGGGGAGTGGTGGATTCTGGGTAAAAGGGCATGTGCAGGCTGATGTTGGTGAGCTCCAAAGCTTGTCCCGGTGTTAGAACAGGGGGTGTAACCTTAATGACTGCAGAATTGCTCATTACTTTTCCTGCAGCAGCAGAAACCCCACCTGCTCAGACTCTACCCTGGTCTGTAGAACTTGGCATTAAACTAACTCTAGTGCCTGCTACCTGATCACTCCAAAGCCTGAGTGAGATCTGATGTAATGTAATGTATCTTTTGTAGGTCATCATTTGGCACTGTGACTTAAAGTTGTAGACAGTAACTTGCTGCAGGGGAAAGAAGGAAAGTGCTTAGAGTGTGAGATCCTGCTTTCTCCACACATTTAGCCTATTGTAGTCTATCCCTCAGCCACTCAAAGCCAAAGGATTGTTATTTGCAATGGTAGGTTGAAGTGTAACTTTGTGTGCTGTTGAGCTGCGGAGGCCGGCTGCGGAGATCCCCTCTGACTGAGTTCAGCGAGCTGCACTGGTCTGCTTCTCACCACAGTTCCGGCTGGGAGACATTCCTGAGCCTGCAGTTGCATCAGACCTAAAGCAAAAGCTTTTCAGCTGTCAGGGCTCACAGAAAGTCAAACATCCGTGGCTCTGAGAAGAGCTCTTTCGCATTGTGCTTCTAAAGACACTGCCCTTGCTGACTGAGACTTGAATAGGCCACCGCTTACGCTCACCTGACATTGAATTCGGTGAAGAGGCGTCCTTGTGGAAAGGTATCAGAGTCGAGCTAAAATAAAATTGTAAGACCAGAAAAGTCACAGTGGTTTGGATTGTGTTGCTTTGGCCTTGCTTTTCACAGTATGTGTAGAAAGCAGTAGCAGTGTTGTGGCTTGGGTTTCTGTTTAGAGTGTGTGGTTGAGTCAGGCTTATTTGAGCATTACCTTCATTAATAACCAGCTAACACGGTTAACTAATTTAGCTTGCTGTTTGGGCCACTGTCTCCTGCCCTGTGTCTCTGTGTGTGGGGTGGTGCCTGCCGGCATCAGGGGTCTGGTCTCGCTAGCCACTCGCTGGGAAGTGTGCTATTTTCAGCCTGTCTACCTTTTCAGACCAGCGCGTGATCAGGGTCTTTACTTAATTACAGCCAATGTGAAATTCCTGTGTGTTTTTTTTTTGCTATTAATTTCTTAGTTGACTCTCGCTGAAATGCGATATCGATCGTGCTTAGTGAAGTCTGAAAAGGCACAGGGAGTACAGAAATGCCACTTTTAAATAACCGAGCCAATATGTTGTCCGAGAGATGCAATTAAGCGGCGCTGATTTCGGGGGACCTTGCGGCTGCTGCGAACGCCGTCTCCGAGGACCGGCCGGCCCCTTGTGGGGCTGTCCTCGGACCGCTTCGTCACCACCATGTGGGCCGCCGCAGAACCGAGGTGCGGTTCGGAGTGAACACGGCGCCGGTGACGTGTTAGCCTGTTTAAGCAGAAACGGCAGGCAGTTTGAACACAGCCCGTGCTATTCACTGAACGCCAGGCGCTATTCTTCCTGCAGGACATTTTTCCAGACGTTCTCACCCCTATCTTAAAAATCGGCTGGTTTGAGGCACTGCCGGGGGAAGTTAGGGGAAACTTGGCATCGGTGTCGTGCGGGTTCCCATCGATAAGGCGGTGAGATTTAGGCGGCATGCTGGTGTCAGGTTACCTTTCCCACAGAGCAGCTGCTCCTTGACGGTGTGGATTTGGACTGTCGTCAGAGTTTCGTACATCAAGCCATCACTTCTTGGATGGTTTTTTTCAACCAGAGTTTGCTTCCCCTGTTCGGGCCAACCCTAATTATGAAAGTTCTCTCTCTCTACCTTTTTTTTGCCAGGGGAAACCCAGCCGGGTTAAGTGGAAGTGTGAATTAGCCTTATGATGTATGTGCTTTGATGTCGCTTTACCCTCCATCAAACTGGCGTTTTGTCCTTTTGACCATGGGCGGGGAGTTGTGTGACCAAGGGTTCCTGTCTGTGTTGTAATAAAAATACACAGGAACAGATGTCTGGCTTCTGCTATAGATTTCCTCCTGTCCGTCCCTGGGGACAGAGTTGACAGGGCACAGGTGGGAGTCATGAGTAGCCTGGAAACAGTTTGCCATAAAATC